CCTCAGGTGATCCACCCACATTGGCCTCCCAAAGTGCTCGGGTTATGGGTGTGAGCTACCACGCCTGGCCTACAAAGTCTTTTTGTGAAACAGCTCCAGTTTGTCTTTCCAGACTTATATCATACTATTCACCCCACTCATGTTCCAGCTATAATAAATTTACAGGTTGTCCTAATCTGGCTGAACCTCCCTCTTCTACAGCTAGTTAATTCTTATTTTTGTCATTTAAATCATCTTGGGAACTTCCTCCTCTAGGGTCCTCACTCCATTTGAGAGTAACTGACCTTCTTCATTCTCTTAATATCTTGTCCTTACTTTTATCATAACATTTATCACATTGTATTGAGGGACCATAAGCTCCTAACTGAATTCTGTCTATATTTCCAGCATAGTTGTGGGTGTCTAGTAAATACTAGTTGCTGTGAAGAGATCCCATGCTGCATGAAGGCTAAGGTTTACTTCGTAGCACTTGATGAAGTGTGGCTATGAAAGGAAAAAGAGAAGATAGAATAGACCAGACCAGGTGTGGTGGCTCATGCCTGTAATCCCAGCACTTTGGGAGGCTGAGGCAGGAGGATCTCTTGAGCCCAGGAGTTCAAGACCAGCCTGGGCAACATGGAGAAACCCCATCTCTACAAAACAATACAAAAAAATTAGCTGGGTTTAGTGGTGTGTACCTGTAGTCCCGGCTACTCAGGAGGCTGAGGTGGGAGAACCACCTGAGCCTGGGAAGTGGAGGCTGCAGTAAGCTGTGATTGTACCACTGCACTCCAGCCTGGGCATTGGGAGTGACTGCCTATAGCAGGAAAGCTGAGTCCACTGAAAGTGCTCTCACAATTATGGTGATTCTGTGCATGTTTGTTTGCTGAAGTAAAAGGAGCATAGTTGAGAGAGAGAGAAAGAGGTTGAAGATATAAGACAGGGGATAGAAATAAGGTTACTTGGAAAAGAGGAAGGGTTTTCACCAAGTTTTCTTTTCTTTTCTCTTTTTTTTTTTTTTTTTGAGACGGAGTCTCGCTCTGTTGCCCAGGTGGCATTGCAGTGGCACAATCTTGGCTCACTGCAACCTCCGCCTCCCGGGTTCTTTAAAATAATTGTTTAGGCTTTAGAAGTCTACAGGGTATTCATTCCATCAAGGCTGAGTTGAATGTCGCTTAACATAATATTCCCAATGAAGGATTCATGGTATACATTTATTTAATAGAATCTTCATCTTTTCCTGGTCCAGGAAGGAGATGGGTAAGAAATACACTTGATAGGAGTTAAGAAGTAAAAGTTTCCTAATAAAAATCTGGAGCTGCCTCACAATCAATGCTATTAGAATGGTTGGTATACTTTCAAAATATATGCCTGGGATACGATGACATTTTAGAAAGGGCTTAACATAAATGTTACCTATATATTATAAATGTGTTTTATATATATAAGTACACACACACACATATATACACCAAGTACACACACACATATACACATACTAAGCAGTGAATTTTTTTTTTTATTTTTGAGACAGAGTCATGCTCTGTTGCCCAGGTTGGAGTGCAGTGGCATAATCTCGGATCACTCTGCCTCCCGGGTTCAAGGGATTCTTCTGTCTCCGTCTCCTGAGTAGCTGGGATTATAGGCGCACGCCACCACACCTGGCTATTTTTTCTTGTATTTTTAGTAGAGACGGGGTTTCACCACGTTGTCCAGGCTGGTCTCGAACTCCTGATCTCAAGTTATCCACCTGCCTCGGCCTCCCAAAGTACTGAGGTTACAGGCATGAGCCAATGCGCCCAGCCTAGTCATCACTGTGAACTTCCACAAACACTTATTGAGAGTCAGTTACTGTGCACAAAGTACTGTGTATAGAGCTGGGAGGGACACAGATGTTTAAGATGCAGATCCTGCCTTTAAGAAGGTATATTAGCTATTATAAGTTTCAATTAACCAAATGTGTGATTATTATTAAAAGTCAGCGGTATACATATTGTACTTTGTTTTCTATTCTGATAAAGCTCACGTATGCTTTTAATTTCCCTTTAAATCTTAACTAATTTTCAAAACTATCAGTGTTTCATAAACAGCTTATAGTGCCCAGACAGAGTGGCTTGCCCTTAGTAGCACTCATCCTACTTTTGTTGAACTATAATGAACAGCTTCTCCAGTTTTAACTCTTGCATGGTTGGCAATTGGCTGAATTGGAATGTGAAAACACATTTAGAGGACAGAATGTTCTCTCTGAGTGCTGCAGCTGTAAGAATCTCTTTAAAAAACATAAAGTCTATTACATAAATTATGTACTCTTTAAACTCTCATGTTCATTTACACAATTGATCACGGAAACGACTTTAGAAATATGTGTATCAAATATTTAGCATATTTTTAAAGCTTCCTTAATAACATCACTAATAAGTGGATGCAATTTTGTGTTTATTTACAGCAAACACCTATGAATATCAGATCACCTAATTATAGTTTATCAACATTACCTTTGAATCATTCCAATGGAAATGTCCTCTCTCACTGCATTCATATTGCTTCGGTGCATGAGCATGGAAAACAGCAGATTATTTTCCATGCTCATAGATTTTAAATATTTACTTGCTAGCGCTGCATAATTTAACGCACTAGAGTTGGAAAGCAGTTTGTATGATAGCTGATGCCATGTCAGTGTTGCAGAATATAGTTTCCTCCTGTGACTTCTGTGTGAAGTCATAAAAAGGAAAGGTACTTTACTCCTTTTTTTCTAACCAATTAAAATTTGTTGTGGTAAATCTACAAAAAACCCAAGTCTGTAGTATACACACAATTTACTTTTGTATAATTATATAGTTATCTTAAGAATCCAAGCATTGTTTCTCATGGCCTGTTAATGCACAATACCAAAAATAAAATATACGCATTCTTGTAATCCAGGTCTTTATGAAAGTTACAAAAAGGCATCTAAACAGCTTGTTAGATGCATGCTCTCTCTCCTAAAAAAAAATCAGAACAAAGTTTGGGGATTTCGAAACATGAAACCACAGGCAATGGAATCATGCAAGAAAACTACTTTGTTTTCTCACTCTAATAAGTGTGCCATTTGTGATTTTATCATACCCTTTGCTTGTTGTTTTGTTATTTAGTTGTCCAAGTACATGAATAAAAAATAAATAGATCCAGCTACCTGTTTTTGTGAGAATAAAAAAATAATCTAAACCACCAAATCCATTACAAAATTGAAAAAAATTCAAGTTTAATTTTTAACTTTTCAACTCTTCATTCTTGAAAGTTTTCATTCCCATGTGGTTTCATAGTCCGGTGGTATAGACTTCATAGTTTTTAGTATAATTTCCTATGTAATTCAGAAGCATGTCTGGTAGTCCTTGCTCCAACAAAATCTGCGGTACTGTAAAAAGGCATAGGATTACATTTTACAGTAACAGTATTTCTCTTGACATCATTTAGGAGTGAAGATAAAAATTTCCATTTTATTTATTTATTTTTACTTTTATTTTATTTTTTGAGACAGGGTTTTGCTCTGTCGCCCAGTCTGGAGTGCTGATGGGCGATCTCGGCTCACTGAAAACTCCGCCTCCCAGGTTCAAGTGATTCTCCTGCCTCAGCCTCCTGAATAGTTGGGACTACAGGTGCCCGCCACCACGCCCTGCTAATTTTTTATATTTTTAGTAGAGACTATAAAATATACTAAAAAATACTAAAAAATATACTAAAAATATAAAAATATACTAAACAATTTTTAGTATATTTTTATATTTTTAGCAGAGAAATATAAATATAACATTTATATTTTATATTTATATATTTAGTTTCATTCTGTTGGCCAGGCTGTTCTCGAATTCCTGGGCTCAAGTGATCCGCCCGCCTAAGCCTCCCAAAGTGCTGGGATTACAGCTACCGCGCCTGGTAATCCCAGAAATTTACACGTTATAAAAAGCATCTTCAGACCGTCCCTTTTTCTTTCTTTCTTTTTTTTAAACAAAGCCTCGCTCTGTCGCCCAGGCTGGAGTGCAGTGGCGGAATCTCTGCTCACTGCAACCTTTGCCTTCCGGATTCAAGCAATTCTCCTGCCTCAGGCTCCCGAATAGCTGGAATTACAGGCGCCCGCCGCCACGCCCGGCTAATTTTTTAACTTTTTAAATAGAGACGGGCTTTCACCATGTTGGCCAGGTTGGTCTCGAACTCCTAATCTCAAGCGATCCACCCGCCTTGGCCTCCCAAAGTGCTGGGATTACAGACGCGAGCCACCGCGCCCGGCTGTCTTGTGTTTTGATGCTTGAAAATAACCTGAATATGGAAAATAAGTGCACATATTCCTTGATGTTTTATAAGTAACCTACAGTCCTAATTATGGCTTGGTTTCGAGTTCCTTCACAACAGGATAAGAAGGCATCCCGGCTTCTTTTTTTTTTTTTTTTTTAAATCAAAGTGAGGCTTGGTTAGGCTCTTATCTTGGTCCTGAGTGCGAGGAAGGAGGGCCGCAATGCATGCTGGATCTTGCAGTTCCTGCGCCAGAGGCAAGGGCGTGATGCTGCATGGCCTGCTGGTAGTTGAAGTCCAAGTGCTCAACAGGCATTTATGGCAGCAGTAGTGTGGTTTGTCTATCAGAGTGACAATGCTCACAGATGGATACTTTCTCCTGGTTCTTCGCTTAGCTGCACTGGTGGTGGATTAGCGGCTTGGGGTGGCGAACAGGTGGGAAAAAGAGATGGATAAAGTAAGCATAGCAGAGGCCTCTACGCCGCTGCTATCGCTACTGCCAATCGCAAGGCTTTCGTATCCCGGAAGTGGCTGATCTGATGGATTTGACGCGGAGGCGGTTCCTCTTACTACGGTGGCCGGGGTGCTAAAAGTACCTGTAGCTGCGGCGCTGAGGTCGGAACGTGTGCGTGTGTGCGGGATACTTTTGTGGCGGCTGCTGCTAGAGCTGGAACGTTTCCCGGGTTGGTGGCTCCTGCACATTTTTACAGTTCTCCAGTCCTTCTGTTTCGGTGAGGGATCGGCTTGAGGCTAGAGGAGTCGAGAAATTTGGGACTTAGTGTCTCTGGTCGCCGAATGACCGGGTTTCTTGGGGAGTCCGCCTTCAGTGAAGACCCTGTGGCCAGCCATCTGGGTTCTCCGAGGGTTTTGGCGCCTCCCTTGTCTCTCCTTTGTAGTGTCATTTGTCTTCTGACTCTTCCTCGCTCTGTCCTGGGTTCCAGAGATAAACCGTGAGCCTAACTGTGGGCAGCTGTTCCTCCTTTCCTTGTGGTTTTCTTAGATGTTGCAGGCAAGACCCTTTCCCCTGATCTATCGCATCCATTTGATCCCTCCTCATGCCAGTGCTCTGTCGGCCCTGTTTCTCCTCGTTTAAAAAATAAAAAAAGGGAAATAATAATAACTGGATCCTCACTATGTCTCTGTTCTCATTCCTAGCCTCTTTCTCCCTTTTTGGTGTTTGTTACTGCTTCAAGCCATAACACACTACCTTGCATATATTAATGCCTTTCCGTCTAAATATTAACGTTCATTCACTTTATTTGGTTCCCGCTCACCGTGAACTCTCCCAACCCTACTCGCATCTAAGGGCTTTTGAGGTTGGAGGTGTAGAATAAATTCTTACATATGATGACTATGTTCATATGTGAGAACCTTCAGCGGTCAACTCAGCATCACTGCTTATTGAGTTTATATATCTTACGATTTCTTTGGCTTACCTTTTCGTTTTGTATTGGTTATTTACCCACATGGGGCTCACTGCTACCCTATAGTTGGAGAAGAATACCTCGTCTTACATCTTTTTATATCCAAATTACTTAGGAGTTTTCTTACATTTTCCTGCTTGGACCATATGTCCTCAGTGGGTTTTTGGCAATGATTTTGTGTCAGTTGATGGCAGAAAGAGACAAGGGAATGATCTTTCTTGCTTGCTTGTGACTTGTAATTAGATTATGAACCATTGAGAGTACCCAGACGGATTGGAAAGGCTTTGAAAGGTAAAGTCTATGTATTTTCTGAGTTTCAAATTGATAAAGCTCTTCTTTGAACAGGGGAGAGTTTCTAGTTAGTCCAATAATCTGAGGCTATATTGAATTATCAGTTCATTCGCTATAAAATTTTAGAACCGCATGTCAAAAAGTGGCCTATCTAAGGAATTGTGTAATTTAGCAAAAAGTCATTAAAAGCAATTTAATTAATGCTCTTTTTCTTTAAAATAGGATTCAAGTATGTGGAAAAATACATTTATGGTGATTGGTTATGAATTATTTCTAGACATTTTGATAGTTCTGGTGAACAGCATCATATTCTGTTCACTAATGTTTTATAAAAAGGCAGAAATTTTCTGACTTTCTGGGGAACCACGTAACTGAAATGAGTTTGCAGCTTGTTTTCTATTCCAATTATTGCACTAAAGAGGTTCTTATACTAAGATTATCATTCTTTTTTAAGCTATCAAAATGATCTATACATGTCATTAAAATATAAATATTAATATTGGTACAATGTTAAATTAGGATTATTCCTAATTAATGCACAAAATGCTGAAATGGTTTCAGTCATGCTTAAGATTGGGGCAAAATATATTTCAGAATAAATTTACTCATATAATTTTTTATTGAAAAAAATGATAAGCTAGCCATTACTCAATCTCTTAATATTTCTCCTGAGATTTTATTCATTTAATAGGCATTTAGTGACTACTTACTATTTAACTATTGTCACAAAATCACCAAAACATTTATTTGTAAGAGTATCCTCTTGTCCTCAGCTCTGCTTAGATGCTTTTAAAGCATTAGCTCAGTTATTCCAACTAAGTAAGCTATTATTATTTACATTTAACAGATGAAAAAACTGAAGCTTGAAGAATTTAAGGAATTTACTTCAGTTCCTTTCTACTCTTCCCACTACAACAGCTGCAAGGATTTGTGCTCTATCCTGAAATATATAAAGAGAATTAAATCAACACATGCTTACTGAGCAGCTATTACATACCAGACACTCTTCAAGGTGCTTGGAATATAGCAGTGAACAAGAAAAGTCCCTGCTCTTAGGGAGCTTATACTCTGGCAGAATGTATGAGATGTAAACTTTGCCTTCAGGCATCAGAAAATATAGTCAATATGTATTAGATTTGATGGGAGTGTTTCAGTATGTTAAAAGTGAGAAGAGAGATAACTAGGGAATGTTTCATGAAAATGAGATCTAATCTGGAATTTAAATAGTGCTTAGGGATTGGTAGGTAGAAATTAGGACCCTGTCTCAAAAAAAAAAAAAAAAAAAAGTAAAAATCTGTGATATAGAATAATTGTTGAGCCTTATAAAGCACTTTTTAATTTTTTTGGACTATTTATAAATAAAATTGTAATCTTTGACATGCATTCAATCATTTAGCGTTTATTTATTAACTAGACACTCTTCTAGGCCACAGTGGTATAGTAGTGAGTAAATACGGTTTTTACACTCATATAATTTACTGTCTAACAGAGGAGGCAGACATAAATAGTCAAAGAAATTGAAAGTTACAACTGTAGTAAATGCTGTTAAAAAAGTACTCGATGTTACACAGAGGAAGAACTGATTACAGAGGGGATAAGAGTGGGGATGGGGAGAGGCCAGTTAGAAGATTGTTGGAGTAGCCCAGTTGAGAGATGATATTTTGGAAAAGGTGGTGGTGGTAAGAGGGAGAGAAGTGGATGGATTCCAGAGGTGTTCAGGGGGCGGAACTGGGTGATGGATTAGATATGGAAGGTGAGGTAGAGGAAGATATTGGCTAATCTTAGGTTTTTGGCTTATATAACTGGAAGGATTGTTGCATCGTTCACTGAGGTAGAGAACGTTGAAAGAGGACCAGATCTGGGAAACATGCTTTGTTTATTAGTATTTTTTATTGTGGTAGCAGTGTTTAAGGTTAATTTCTTAGTTACTTTTTACCCTTTTGTCATTGTTTTAGTTTTGTATATTTGAGTAATGCTATACCTAAAATAATGTTTTTTTGGTATCATTTTTTCTTGATTGAGCAGGAGTGGAGTTCTACATGAAAGCATCTGGAAATACCTTGGTCTGTGTTTTGAATCTATCTGTAATATATTAAACCATATATATGAATAAGTAACTGAATAATGCACTTACATGTCATCTTTATTTTCACTTGAGATTTGGCAGTGAACTGGCATCTGGTTAAATTCTAACTTCATTCATTTGGTACATATATAAATATAAATGCACTAGGGAAAAAATACATGCTTTTGATTTTTCTCTGAAATGCTTCATTCATGTAATTTTTGATAGATATTGAACCCAAACAGTAGTGATTTATAATTTTTTGTTTAAATTTTACATTTCTTAGTGAAGTGATAGAGTGTATACAGCAAAGAGACTTTGGTGTCAGACTGCCTGGATTCACAGTCTCTATTTGCTATATACTAGCAGTATGACCTTGAAGAAGTTATACAGCTTTTCTAGGCCTTTTTTTTTTTTTTTTCAATTTATAAGATGAGGATAATAATAGTGCCAGCCTTATAGAATTGTTGTGAGAATTAAATGAGATGATATATGTACATAGGTTAATAAAATACTTGGTACAGATTTTAAGTGTTTATTATCATTATTATTATAGTGATACTGGGTCCAAGATCATCTTGACTCCTGTGACACCATTTTAATTTTAGGATACCTTGTAACTAATAAAACTCAATTCGAGAAAAAAAATTTATTTGGTATTTAGATTTGGAGAAAATATATAAAATAGTTTTGCTTATTCACTCTTGTCCCAGATAAACCAGCACATAACTAATCTTTCACAGAATTCTGAGATTATGTGTAGTTTACAGCTGTGATGGGAAACTTAGGGCGATTAGTTTGTGATTACTTATTGTTTGTTAGGATTATTACCTTTATTTTTAGCCAAACCTTTTTGAAGTTTGAACTCGCTTTTAGCTCTTATGAATAGGGTGCAGAGTAGTTAGGCTTTATGAAGTCTGATCAGCTGCTCTAAAATCAACCTAACTTCTACCTTTTTCCCTTATTTTTTTCTTTTTACTTTCAAACCTATAAAAACATTGAAATGGTAGCATGACAAATACCTGTATATCCTTTTATCTAGATTGTTAACATTGTGCCTCTTTTACTCTCATTCCTTGCTGTTAGACAAGTGCTCTTTCTCTCTCTATAAATACACACACACACACACACACACACACACACATTTTTCTTCCTGAACTATTTGAAAGTAAGGTGGAAACATCACACTGTACTCCCAAATAATTCATCATGCATCTCCTAAGAACTAGCACATTATTTTATGTAACTATAATGCCATTAGCATATCCAAATAATTTAACCTTGATATGATGATATTATCTAATGTACAGTCCATATTCAACAATTAGATTTTTCCAAATATCCCAGTAATGTCATTGTAGCATTACAAAAATACTGAATCCAATTAAAGATATTAATTGTATTTAGTACTTGTATGTCTGTTTTATCTAGAACAATCTTTACCTTTTCTTTCTTTTTTTGTCTTCAGGTAGAATGCATCACAAAATTGATTTATCTGATTTTTTCCTCACAATTAGTTTCAGATTGAAGAGTTGTGGGTTTTTTTGTTTGTTTGTTTTTTACTATTACATGGGTGATATTTTGAACTTTCCATTTAATCATATTACGATTAACATAATGATGGTTTATTCTGTGATTGGTGATTAAGTTTGATCACTTAGTTTAGCCAGAGTTTTATATTCTGAAAGTACATTTTCCCTTTTGTATTTAATAATCTGTAGAGGTGATAAATTGAGGTCATGTGGATATTCTGTTTTGCAGGTTTTGTTTTCCTATCCAGTGATTTTAGTGGTCATTAATAAAAGCATTGGTGGTTGCCAAATAGTGATTTCCCACTTCTGTCATTCCTACATACATTTCCTGGTTCTCTTCTCTAAATAAGAGCTTTCTCTTCTATTTTAGTATCATTATGTACCCAAGGATCCTTTCTTTCAAAAGCTGTGCAGTGTGCTATAATTTGCTACCATCATTCCTTTCGATGATTAAATTATCTCAAATCTGGTCAGTAGTAGATCCTTCAATCTGGTTCCCATGACCTTTGGATATGTCTACACTGGTGTTTGAGCACTTTCTTACTCATATTTGCACAATGAGATGTTCCAGCCTCACCTTGTAAATTTGCTGCTCAATACATGGAATAAGCCATTTTACCACAGAATCCTGGTTTATTTTAGTGGAAAATGATACTTAGAAACCAAGATCTGGGCCAGGCGTGGTGGCTCACGCCTGTAATCCCAGCACTTTGGGAGGCCGAGGCGGGCGGATCATGAGGTCAGGAGATCGAGACCATCCTGGCTAACATGGTGAAACCCCGTCTCTGTTAAAAAATACAAAAAAAATTAGCCGGGCGTGGTGGCGGGCGCCTGTAGTCTCAGCCACTTGGGAGGCTGAGGCAGGAGAATGGCGGGAACCCGGGAGGCAGAGCATGTAGTGAGCTGAGTTCGCGCCACTGCACTCCAGCCTAGGAGACAGAGTGAGACTCCGTCTCAAAAAAAAAAAAAAAGAAAAAACAAGATCTGGGTATTTAATATGCTCTTTGCTACTGGGGTGTCATTGGTTCTAGACCCTTTAAATGGACACACATATACGCATTTTTTTTCTTTTTGAGACAGTCTTGCCCTTGTTGCCCAGGCTGGAATGCAAAGGCGGATCTGGGCTCACCACACCCTCTGCCTCGGGGTTCAAGTGATTCTCCTGCCTCAGCCTCCCGAGTAGCTGGGATCACAGATGTGCACCACCACACCCGGCTAATTTTGTATTTTTAGTAGAGACAGGGTTTCTCCATGTTGGTCAGGGCTGGTCTCGAACTCCCGACCTCCGATACTCCGCCCGCCTCAGCTTCCCAAACTGCTGGTATTAAAGGCATGAGCCACTGCACCAGGCCAACATATACATTTTTTAAGAAATCATGAGTTCATAGGATACCTTCAATTCA